TATATATATATATATATATATATATATATATATACAATATATATATATACAATATATATATACAATATATATATATTGTACACATACACACTGTATGTATATATTGTATATATATCTACCTACCTACCTATATATCTATATCTAATCTCTCCCTCCCTCCCTCTCTCTCTAAACTATATCTACCTGCCTACCTACTTACCTACTTACCTATCTACATCTCTCTCTTTGTGTGTATGTATGTGTGTATGTATGTATGTATGTATGTATATCTTGTATGTCTATCTATCTACCTATATATCTATATCTAATCCCTCCCTCCCTCCATCTATCTCCCCCTTTTTAAATCCCTGCTTGAGCGTGCATCGGATCCTGCAAGGTTCAAGAGAGCGAGGGAAGCGGCTAGAGGCGAGGGAAGCGGCGGAGGAAGTGGAGGAAGGCTTTAGCGGGTGGATGCAAAAGGGGGAAGACATTCTCCGGCGCACTTTTCCAGTCCGGATTTGCCTGCTTGAGAAGTGGCGTTTGGTTGCTGGTGCGCGGAGGGAGAAACGGACGGAGGCTTCAAAAAAAGGGGCTGTGCCCGGAGGAGGAGAGGCTCGGAGAAGGGAGCAGCAAAGGCTGAGGATCGTGGGTTCAAATGCCGCCTCTCGGCCGTTAAGGGACTAATTGGATGGTTCGGGTGGCCAACGTCGAAAGACGGAGGAGGTGAGCTCAGCAGAGCCCGCAGCCGGTCTCCAAAGCAGCGTCTCTGAACCGTGGCCGCTTTTAAGAAGGGTGGACTTCAACTCCCAGGGTCCTTCAGCATGCCATGCTGGGTGGGGAATTCTGGGAGTTGGAGTCCAGCCTTTTCAGAAGCTGCCAAGATTCAGAAATACTACAGAGCAGGGGTCTTGAAATTTGGCCGCTGTAATACTTGCAGACTTCAACTCCCAGGGTTCTTCAGCATGCCATGCTGGGTGGGGAATTCTGGGAGTTGGAGTCCACCCCTTTTTAAAAGTTGCCTTCTGGGCTTCAGTTCTTAATTTATGGTAAGCTGTAAAGTGGTGTGACCTTTGATATTTTTAATCTGCTGTATGACACACTAAGGGGCTTTCTTTCTTCATTTAATAGCGAACTATTGATTTTTGTTCTGGGTGATCTCCACACACAATTAAAAGTCAGTGTAGTGTAACAATTAAAAGTCATATGCTGCTAAATATTTTAAGGAAATATTTCTAGGAAAAAACTTAAAATATTTAGCAGCATATGACTTTTAATTGTTACACTACAACAATTAGTTGCAATTAGTTTTAATGGGAGTGGGAAGCAGCCTCCTTTTTACAGGCAAGTGTTTTGTTCATCTTAAATCATGGTTAAATCATGCAAAATATATGAACCTGGTCCCGTTGCAAAATCTTAAGTCTTTTTTTCCTCTTTCTTTTCTCTGTAGGTTTCCTTTGATCTCTAAAAGAAAAAGAATACATTGCTGACTGACTTTTGACCCCCCTCCCCCCAGGTAACACAATGGCTACCTCTTTCTCAAGATGTGAAATCTATTTAATGATCTCCAATTGTTTATTGTTTCCTCCCCCCGTCCCGCCCCCCAACGTTGGTAAGAAATGCAGGAAAATCTTGGCACAAAGCTTGAACAGGAAGATGCTAACAGATTTGGGGGTGGGTTTATTGGGGGAATTTATCAGAGGGAGGGAAGTTGCTTTGGGGCCTGGGTCTCTGCCAGGTTTGATTAGCTTCTCTTCTTTTCCCTTCCACAGTTCGTGGGATAGAGTCATGGTGAAATCATGCTGCGCAATAAACTGCAATAACAAATTTTCACTGGGCAATAATATCTCCTTTCACAGGTAAGTCAAATCTCCTTCCAAACGGCACCCCTGTTTGGTTTGGGGGCAGCCGTGCCTCAGATAGAAAGTCCATACAGAGAGTGGTAAGGACAATGGAGAAGGTTTTATAGGAAGCTCGCTTCCCGTCATTCAGGATGCTGCTTATAAGTGCTATGAGTTTAGAGCTCGAAGCATTGTTAAAGATCTCATACAGCCACTTCACGGTCTGTTTCTGTTGCTCCCCTCTGGGAGGAGGTTTTTAAAGTATTTCTAGCAGGACTACCAGATTCCATGACAGCTTTGTTTCCTAGGCCAGTGTTTTTCAACCTTTTTTGTGCAAAGGCACACTTTTTTCATGAAAAAAATCACGAGGCACACCACCATTAGAAAATGGTGCACCCTGGTCAACACTGAGTAAGGAGCCTCCCTGCCAGGCCACAGTGGAAGGCCAGCTCAGTGGTGTGTGTGTGTGTGTGTGTGTGTGTGTGTGTGTGTGTGTGTGTGTTATTTCAGTCAACCAAGGTTGGGAAGCAAGACTCTGTCCAGCCATCGTTTGCTAATGC